CTGAAACAAACAAAAAAACAAACAAACAAAAAAACAAACAAAAACAAATCTGAATTGTTACATTGAAAAAAAAAAATCTGAAACCACAACAACGATGACAAACAGAGAGAGACACAGATTTTGGAGGTACGCCCGCTCAGAGAACAACCCGAACATGAAGGCATTTGCAATGTCATCAATTGTTCAAAGCAAATAATAGCTAAGCGGTTTTGTTGTCAGCGATTGATTACCCACCAAAATGTCTCATTTAGCTGATGCAGCAGCAGCAGCAGCAACAACAACAACAACAACAACGCCAGATGACTTTTGACGAAGACGGCATAAAGCAACAGCTTCTCTTAAGTGAACAATCACCATCATCACCAACAATGACGGCAACGATGACAACGATGAAGGTTGTAGTGATCGGGATGATAATGATGCTGTTTATATCAGAACAACTGATACATTTTTCTGAGGTTTGTTCGATTTTCATCCTTTTAGTTGCTGTTCATCCAGGTGTTTCTTATTCTATATTTTTCCTTATTGTTTTTCTAAATCACATCTTTGATAAACACATTGACGAACACGTGTATCTATTGGCAACTATTGATTCCGTATTTTAATTACTTGTAATTGTTAAAATTGATTTGTTCAAAAATTTTTCGTGTTTCTTTCTACACTCATTTCTTGATCTGAACAAATTAATGTATCGTTGATGTTTCTATCACACAATTTTCCAATATCTAATTTTATTACAGGTTGAGTACGCATTAAATGGTTAAAAGCAATTTTTAATATCGGTATTCGAATATCCAGTATATATCGGCGTGTGTACGGATATACACATCATTAAAAGTGTTAATGAGAGTATGCTGAAAAATAAGCTGAAAAAATTGAGTAACAAAATGAACAATATTGATGGAAAACTTATTGGACAATTTGTCTAAAGGTATGATACTACGATATGTATATGTCAGAAAACAAGAACGAAAGCAACAGCGATTTTTTACTGTTGTTGTTGTATGTTGTTGGCCATCTTCCCTTGTCTGAACGCAGCAACGCCGCCATCACCCTCTACAAATTTTGTTTTTTTTTTTTCTTCTGCTTTTACTGTATGCAACAATTGTGATCAATCGAACAAATATAGAAACTGGTCGCCAGTTTGCTAAAAAAAACACAGCAACGATGGGTCAGTTACGTAAAATATTTAATCGGTTACTTGGACCAGTTTTTGCCATCACTGTCCTGCTTACGTCCATTTTTGGCGGATACATTATAACTTTATTTTCGCCAGTTCTGTTTCTTAATCAGCATCGACTATGGAGATCTTTGATGGATCGAGCAATCAGCTTTTGGATCATTGTTCCAATGGTAAATTAATTTGTGTACTAATTTGTGTACTTTTCTGTACTAAAAACTAGGATAACGATGTTAAGAACGGAAATCCGTTAAGCAAATTGAGCATTTAATTTTACCTGCCAAGTACCTGAACGGTTATACAATTTATTTTTCTAATTCTTTTAAAAGATTTCTTGGTTTATTTCTGGTAACGACAGTTTGTTACTTGAAAAATATCATCATTTAAAAATGGATCATTTTTGAAATCGTATTGACACGGACTTACTGCATACCTTTATCTCTCTCCTAACCTTGCTTCACCAAAATCTGATTACGTTACTGAGCCATAACATTTGTTGACGTTGCTATAATGAGCTGCTTGTTTCTCTCCAGTTCAATTTCAGCTTATCCTTTCTGATAGTTCATGTTTCCTATGTAGTTTTACACCACATCTTTGAGGGCTTATTATTTACCTTTTCTGCATACAGAAGTAGTTGTAATTCTTAATGCGATAATTTCCAGGCATTTTTGCGGTTTCTCTTTGGTGTTTCCGTAAAAGTAACAGGCGATGCAATCGAAGGTGGCAAACCAGCCGTAATACTAATGAATCATCGGACTAGACTTGACTGGATGTTTTTATGGCTTGCCGTATACAAAATAAATCCATGGCTTTTAACAACGAGTAAATATTCTTTGAAAGCCCAGTTAAAGATGCTTCCAGGAGCAGGTAAAGCTTCAAATTTTTATCTGTTTCAGAAACCGAGAACAATACTTATGTAGTTTCTATAGAATTTAAAGTTTCGTAATTTTTTTTATTGTTTACCTTTTGATGCCCGATAGCTGAGTCCTTTGGCGCACGCATTAACGTATTACCAATTTTACAACTACCTTCTTGCCTTGTTGCCCCACAGAATGACTCATCACTTTTATTTGAAGGTTTTGGTATGGCCGCGCACCACTTTATATTCTTAGAACGTAATGTTGAAGAGGACAAGAAACGTCTGTCTGAAGCTGTCGAGTACTACTCCAAAGTTGGTGGCTTCTATCAGGTCAGCCTTTTCTGTTCTATATTCTCAGCACACAGTGTTAGAAAGCTGATGCGGGCTCATAGTCAGTAATCTGTTTCCGTATTTGTAGATTTGAGGTTCATTTGTAAAAGTCATAGCAAGTACATGATGTATATGCAATAGGGACTTTTTTCTACATTTTTTCCTTTTAAGTTTTTGTCCAGTAGCTGATACATTTTTGGCTGTTTTACGCAGTGAAAGATCCATCTCTTGATTTCAATAAGCGCTGGATTAGGATTGTTTGCTCCTTCTGCAGGTCTTAATTTTCCCTGAGGGAACTGACAAGACAAAACACACAACGATGAGGAGCACTGAGTATGCAAAAAAGAACGGTTTTAAAGAGCTATCATATTTGCTCTATCCGCGAGCGGCAGGGACTGCTATCCTGATCACAAAAATGAGAGAATGTGAGGGCAATGTTCGTTTTCCCTTTTTTTTTTTTTTT